ACCATCCATTCTGGTTTTGTCTCTCTTCTCCACTTGACAGCAAGACATTTTGAGAATTTATTCTTCCTCATTTCCTGCTAAATTCTCACTCCACACTCATTTGGCACCTACTCCCAAAGAACCCACCTCTTGCTAAGTTCATCTGAACTCTAGACGACCAGAATCACTGATGTCGATGGGCATTTTTTCTGTACTTCTTTCACTTGACTTCTTCATGGCAACGAACACAGGTCATCATTCCCCACGCCTTGAAACATTTCTCGTCTCCTGGCTCCTGTCTCCACAGCCTTCTGGTTTTCCTCCTCCATCTTTCTTCTTCCTTCATAGGTTCAGGCCTACGACTGGTTTCTGTCCAGTCGTAGCGATGACATTCTTCCTGTGTCTACAAGACAGCCTTCGGCCCAGTTTTCTTTCTTTTCCCTACTAACTCCCTCACCAAGCTCATGCACGGTCATCGCTCTAATCAACACACGATCCCAAAGTTACAAATCCAGAGCAGACCTCTCCTCTGCCTTCCATATATTCAACGACAATACTGGGTATCACAAAGCCGACTTGAACAGAGACCTAAAATTAGAACCATTTCTCCTGCACTTCCCTGCCCGCCTCCGCTCCTCCAAACTTGTCACTCTCCCAAAGGACTCATTTTTAAGGCCACACCATATACCCTAGATCAACATTAGAGTGTCAAATGTGACGCTTCTCTCTTCTTCCGCCAACTGATCTGTTGTTAACTTCTGACACTGGTTTCTTATGACAGCTCCTAAATCCACCCATTTCTATCACCAAATATTAGTCTAAGCTACTATCACCGGCACAGCGACCTCCTAACTGGTCTTCCTGCAGCCACACCCACTCTTGTCTAATTTGTTCTATAGGATACAGGACCAGCGAGGCTCCAGTCTCTGATAACCATTCCAGCCTCAGTGCATCCCATATGCCTTGCCTTCCATTCTCGAGCCACTGCTTTCCTAGCTTGCTCACTCCTGCTTTGTCACCGCAGGACCTTTGCACATGTCATTTATGCTACCAGGAATGCTAATTTTCTAAATTCCTACTTCCTCGGACCCCAGCTCAAATTTCTCTTTCTCAGGAAAGTCTCCTTGCTCCCTCAAACGCCCCTCCTCCACCATTCTTTTGAGTACCTTCCCTTCCCTGTCCTGTCACAGGTGTGATCTTAACCTTTACTCTTGTCATTTGATGTCTCCCTCTTCCAGCGACACCATGCATGCCAAACCCACAAGGTCTGGTTTCCGCTCACGGTCATACTCCACAGCCAGTTTCAGTATGTGGACGGCACTCGGGAAAAGGTTTTTTATTATTTATTTTATTGTTGTTTAAGCCCTAGGGATGCAGGAAAGCTTTAGAAGCACAAAGGGAAATTTGGCACATGGTAGATTTCCAGGGCCAACTCTGCAGCTTATGATTTTCTGTCAAGAGGAAACAAAAGCGTAATTTGATGGCATCTTCACAGTTTATTCCTGCCAGTTCTGCTTTTCTATAAATACAGTCCTCATTTCCAAGGGATCTGGAGAAGATGGCCGTGGTTGACTATTTGGGGGAGGCCCTCTGATTTCAGATGGGATGCTGTCATCTGTCTCTGCTCCTGGGGCAGGTGTGGGGTGTGCCGGACACCTGTTGCTGATTCCACAGAAGCTGGACACGTCAGGCTCAGTGCTTCACAGGACCCGGGCAGGGCCTCTGAGGGCAGGCCGAAAGGCATGTCAAGGTCATCTCCATGAGGACCCATTATTTGGTGTTCTATCCATTCCTGTTGTACTCCTCCCATCGTGTAATGCCAGATGCTTCTGAGAGAAGCTCCCTGTCCTGTTGGCCTTTCACCACCATCCAAAGTTCAGCGCTGAAGACCTTTTAAGGACACCAGCCTTCAGCTTGGAATACAAAGATGTCTGAGCAGCATGGAACATGGAAAGCAGTCTCTGATAAACTCATGTAACTGTTGATGCCAAAACTGAGGAAAATGTTGAGATCATCATTTTCCATTGTGGTTCTCTTATTGCTAATACAACTTACAAAGCAAGATTTCTGGGTGTACCTTTGAAAATGCTGTATACACAGACACATGCACTCTGTAACTTGAGTTACAGTGAAACTACAGTATAGCTAATTCTGGCAAATTAGAACTGTAACTCACCATGGCAATAACAGGCCAAGTATGCATTGTATTAATGTCCTTTTGTGTAATCAAGAAAGCACACAAGTTTAAATGCAAATACATAATATAAATGTAATATCTGGGCTTATTCTGTATATTTAAAATTGTGGAAATAGTACATCTGAAAATACGTTACATACACACATGTATACACACGACAAATAAATGCATAACGGTTAAAACTGGTCAACCAATTAACATTCCCACAATCAGTCAATCCTCTTGTATATTTAATACTTGACGCTTAGCCACGCATAGCAAAGTTTGTACTTCAAAGTACTATTTGATCGTACATACAATTTATCATGTTAAACATCCTTCAGTTGTCAATTTTTTTCTCTGTGAAGCTAAGAACTAGCACAGGAAGTCTCTCTTAATTTACAAAAGTCAGGAATATTATTTCTGAATCCAGTTAAGTACAAAACACACTAGAGTCCACACCACTGACTTAAACTAAAAAACCAGATCAGCTGGTTATAGCATAAACCCATCCATTTATCATGGTTTATAGAGCCCATAGCCTATCTCCTATTTTCTCTAATTCAGGAGCTGAGTGTCCTTTAAAGAAAGCCACACAGGGACTTCATTCAGTGGCTAAGACTCCACGCTCCCAATTCAGGGGGGCGGGGGTCGATCCCTGGTCAGGAAACTAGCTCTCACATGCCACAACTAAGATCCCACAGACTGCAATGAAGACAGAAGGTCCCACGTGCCATGACCAAAACTTGGCACAGCCAAATAATAAAATAAATATATTTTTTAAAAATAAATAAAACACATGGAAATATTATATTCATCTGCCAAATTAACCAGTTTGGCCACTGAGGTCATAATAACTTGCTAAGAACGGTCAACACTAAGCAAGATTAAAGTTGCAACTTTGCCTATCTCAGGTCTTAATTCTTCCTCTCTAAAGTTTTCAATGAAAAAATTTTCAGACTTTAATGGTTCATGAGTAGTCTGATGCCACTGGATCTGCATCCATCAAAGGACGAGTTCTCTGACACCTTAAAGAAGTCAGCACAAGGGTTCAGGTGCCTTTCTGCACAAGAAGCATCGGAGCTTCGCCCTACGGTCTCGCCAAATGGACCAAGGCAAGCTCATAAATGTCCAGAGGAAATGCATCCACTACAGCACTGTTCAGGAGTTCATGCTGACACATGGCAATTATTTAAATGTATTATACAGGATTGTTTCATTATAAGCTATTTTCATAGCACAGTCAGGAGGACCACAAAGGAACCTGTGGAATCTTTATTATTTTTTTCCAGCGCTTCCAGAACATTCCCTGTTTCTTTCCTGTTCACATCTGACCCCTCACTTTGCCTGAGAATATATTTCATTTAGATTTCTCTTCTCCAAGGCAAGGCTGTAAGTGCCCTTTTCTGTTTCACTCTGGGGGGATATAGAAGAGTCATCCCTTTAGAGTTTTGCTTGCATGAAAAACTCTCAGGAGTGTTTAGAAGTATGTAAATGACCTATATGCTTTATGACACCTTAACAAGCCCATATAATGATCTAAAGCCAGGGAGAACGCATTCAGGTGAAGAGACTGTCAGCAGGGTGACCATTTAGAGATTCATGAAATTCACAGGTTCATTCTAATCTCAGGAAGGAATGAACAAATGATGGCAACAGGACATTGAGGCTTCCATCTCAGAAACAGAAAGCACCAACTGGGGATGGCTACATGAAAACTGGTACAGATTTCAAGACTTGGCAACCTTCCTATCTCTGTTTTTCTCTTTCATTCCTCAAAGCAACCAGCATGAAAATTCTCAGCTCTGTAGACAAGGTACGAGAAGCAGATTGCCTATTTCACACTTTGGGAGTGAGCCGCAGGGGGTAGAGGACCAGGAAAGAGAGAAGGTGATGATTCTGAGGAGGAGGGAAAACAGGACATGGGGTTAGAAGCAACTAAAAGCCCCAGAGTAGCCCTGGATGATCTGTGTACTTACGTATCAAAATCAGAATGAAACAAAGAGAGTGAGTCTGCATGGTCCTCCATCATCTCATCTCAAGCCCAACAGAGTGAAATCAGAACTCTCAGCATTTCTTTCCCACGCATTTCTCTCTGTAATACTCTTATCAAAAAAAAATTCACATGAAACGCCACCATGAACATCCTACTAATACTTCGTCATGTAAGGTACCATTCTCACCCCATCTCACAAATGAGAAAACTGGGGTACAAGGTTCAATCAACCAAGGTCATGCAACTAACAAGTTTCAGAGCTGTACTTGAAGCTAGGTCATCTGACTCCAGAGTCTGTGCTTGTCAGACCCCAGCCCTGCTGACTTTACCCAGATTCCTTTGCTGTCGACTAGGCTATGAACTAGAGAGTTACCTTTGTCATTCTGCAATGTTGTTTCACTTATTCAAGATTCTTCCTCCATGAAAAAAACCTACTCCTATCTGCCAACGACCATACACAGCTTACTTTCTGCTCTGTGTTGATTTTTTTACCGGAGAAGGGAAAATAAGGACGAAAAATAAGAAGTGGATTGTCAATGCTGGAATGAAAGCATTCAACTATGGGCAAGGTGTAGCTGTAAGTTCAGGTATTTATAGATCAAATCAAAGTGGTGGTTATATAAACTGAAAAGCAACAACAAAATACCCAAGACTCGTGAAAACACATAGGATCTAAAAGCCATTTTCAATCACACTGAAGAATTATTCCACACGAGAGCAATTCCAAGGCTTGATTTTTTTCTTTCCTTTGGATCAGGCAGCCAACTGTAATTAAATTCTACTAACAAACGTACCAAGTTGAAGTCAACAGACGCCCAACGAAAAATCAAGGTAAACAAATGATCTTACCTGCAGATGTGTGTTTGAACTTTTCACTTTTCTTCTTCCTCCATTTCCAAGGCTTGAAGATCCTTCCTAGGTTGGCAAACTTACTTCTCCTCCGGATGGGTGGGGTGTGGGTGCCTGGGACGAGGGAGTCAGAACGCATGGCCGCCAGCCTCTCCACTTCCTCAGCTTGTTTTCCCGAGGAGGAGATGGAAAAAGGAGAAAGAAAAGTGTTAAAACGGGAGCCTCACAGATGGCCAACGTTTTCCATGGTTACAGATAACAGAAATCACATGACCGAACTTCCGTTTCTCTTTTTGCCTTTTGGAATGGAAGTCATACCAACGTGTTCTAAAGGCTGGTGACAGTCAGCCAAACCCTAGGGGATCTGGAGCACCCAAAACGGATTTGGCCAAACTTAACCTGGGCTTGAGAAGGAGGACAAGGAGGACCAGAGCCCTCCTGACACAGACTCCCAACAAGGTGAGGACAGGGCGTGAGAAGAGTGAAGTGAGTCAGTGTAACTACTGGTCCAGCACTTTCTCAAGCAAGACTTGGCAGATGCTATCACTGTAACACCGTCTGCTGAGAAAAGAAGGAGAAAACATTTACCAACCGTCCATTCCAATGCCAACATTTCCACCACCCACGACGCTCTTTCCTAGAATGATGCTTCACTCAGACGGGCAGAAGCACTAGACTCTACTGAATGAGTGGCTCCACCTTAAAAATCCAACTGACTGTTTTCAGAACCACACTTCAGTAGATCTTATAATTGCTTTAATTCCTCTAGGTCTTTTTGTTCCTGGTGCTTTGCTTTAATAAAAAATTCTTAGAAATTGAGAGTTGAGAGTGATACTAGGTACCGTCTAGACTCATCCCAACAACTTAACATTTGAGGACATGAAGACCTTCAAACTCATAACGCCTCGGTGACCCTTTCTTAAGGGCTGCAATCACTCTGACTCCTTTTATCACTTGGGACAAAACTCTTTTCCAATGTACTTGAGCAGCTATAGATCTCAGGGAGGTAAAGAGACCCCGACTTGAATTTTTATGACAGGAATAATCAGAGAAAGTAACCTCATTGGCAAAATCAAGGCAGGCGGGAGGGACCTGCCTTTCCAGAAAGTCCAGTTACATCTAGAGCTGAGACCAACGCAGAACTACTCTGCTGGGCCTCTAACATCATCCTTCAGAAAAACCTGGACTTTGCAACACAGGTTGATCTCTGAAGCTCAATCTCACAGCCTGATGTTCTACCTGCTGTCAGCCAGTATGGTTTGAACTCAGGAGATTCAATTATTCAACAGAAAGAGACAGAACAGCATTGAAACATATACACTGCCATGGATGAAGTAGATACCCAGTGGGAATTTGCTATATGATTCAGGGAGTTCAAAAGGGACATATGTATGCCTATGGCTGATTCCTGCTGACGTATGGAAGAAACCAATACAACACTGTAAAGCAATTATCCTCCAGTTTAAATAAATGAAAAAAACCAGACCTATATATGGAACCTCAACCGTGTGTCAGGCAGTGTGACAGTGACCGATGATGGCAGGCTGGTGAAGGTTGTGTCAAGACTGAAAGGAAGCAGGTGAATTTTAGAGACGTCTGGGAAGCCAAGTCAACAGGACCCAGGACTGACTGGGTGGGTGAGGGGAGGAGGCAGATCATTCCTGATGCCCCATGGATCATGTCAGTGGAACGGCCCCCCTCCATTGCTGGAATCAGGGAACACTGTGGGGGCATGAATTTGGGGGACGGTGGTGAGCAGCCAACAATCTGAACATGTTGCATGGTGAAAGCACTTAACCCTTTGATTATAGGGTTCAGTGCATGGGGAGCCCCTCTCTTCCATCACTGTCTTACGTGACCACTTAATGCTGAACCAGACACTGATCTTTCCTGGAGCAGATACACCGAAGAACTGGACATGGTTGGGCAGACTCTAGAGGAGGGGACAGTGGCATCAGTGTGGAAAATTCCGCTGTCAGGGGGAAACTGCCAAATTAAACGGAGGCAAAGAGGACAGAGGGCGGACTCTTCTTCACTGCTGGAGAAGATCCCAGGGTGTGCCATTTGGGGCGGGATTTTAGAGAAGGAACCGTTCTCCTGACATGGGGAAGAGGAGAAGTGGATCCCTGGAAGGAGAAAGAGACCGAAAAGGAACAGAGTGGGCTGAAAGAATACGGCATGCCTGGGAGCTACAAGAAACCCAGGGAACCCACGGGGTCAGCTACACTGGGTGAGATGGGGAGTCAGTGGTGAGAGGCGGGGGATGGGTCTGGAGCCAGACTCTGCAGGCCTTCGGAAAACTGGGTGTTTGGGTTTGACCCTATTTGCAGAGGGAGATGGATGAGAATCTGAAAATGGGAATTGACATTATTACATTCAAAGAATACTTTCAGAGTGCTCACTGTGTACCAGACACTTGGGCTATGTCAGTAAACAGGAGATTAAAAATACCAACTGACGGAGCTTCCACTGAGGGGTAGGGTGGAGAGCAGGCAACACACAGTCAAAGTAAGTACACCGAACAGTATGTTATCAGACAGCTGCTTGAGGGAGAAAAGAAAAGGTAAGTATGACAAGTAAATGATATCAAGAGTGTCTAGGTGGGGGAGGGACTCAGTTTTAAACAGTCCGATTGAGAAGACAAACGACCAGGACACAATATCAGATTTGTTTCTGAGAAATATCACAGTAACAGCCACGGCATCTTGAAGTGGAGTGTGAAAAGACAGGCCGCGGGGAGAGTAACAAAGGAGGCCGCCAAACACGTCTCGAGGGTAGTGACAGAGGGGATACGGAGAAAAGATGTGATTCGGCAGAGAGAGAGTCAACACATCGTGGTCATTTTCTAGATCCACATGGCGGAGGACAAGAAAGCAAGAATGAGGTTTTCGCTTCCCATGACCAGGGAGATAATGTAGACTTTACGTGTTTTAATGGACTCTGACCAGAAAGAAAAGAAGCAAGAAAGGATAGTTGATCAAGGACAAGGGCTTTGAAGCCAAATAATGAAGTCTTTTTTTTTTTTTTCTTTAGGGAGTTGGATTTTATTTCTTAAGCTCACGGAGAACTACTGAAGGAAGTTTGTCAGGAAGGGGTGGGAAGACAGGATCACATTACTAGGCTGAGCAGCGAGAGCGAGTGGAGAGCAAGAGACTGAAGATGCAGGGATGAGATTGGGAAGTCTGTGACACAGGGGTCTTAGGGAAGAGAAGAGGTGGGATCAAAAGTACTTACAGAAATTAGTCATCAAAGACTTTACTCTGAGCGACGAACATCTGAACCGAGGTCTCTGATCACAAATGGCACGGATCAGATGTGAGCCTCAGGAAGATGAATCTGGCAGCAATGGATAAAGTGGATTATTGGAGACTGAAGAGACAAAGATAAAGATGGAGGAGACTTCTTTAAGTAAGTCTGGGTTACAGAGAGGCTGAGCAGACTGGTTTAAAAAAAAAAACAAAACTGCAATGAGGAAATAGAAGCCAAATGGAGCAAGTAAACAGCCTCTGGAGCAATACTGATTTTGGAAATTATTCTCTTTAAAGGGTACCAGCTGCTTGAGTTGAGCATGCTAAGTCGCTTCTATCGTGTCCAACTCTTTGCGACCCCATGGACTGCAGCTCACCAGGCTTCTTGTCCATGGGATTCTCCAGGCAAGAATACTGGAGTGGATTGCCATGCCCTCCTCCAGGGGACCTTCCTGACTCAGGGATTGAACCCGTGTCTCATGTCTTCTGCACTGCAGACGGGTTCTTTATCACTAGAACCATCTGGATGCCCCCTCAACAATGCTCAACAGCTGGGAAGAGGCACATAGTGACAACTGTGGGAAGCCACACCGAGGAGGGTTTGAGTCCAGGATGGAAACCAACTCAAGACAGGCTGGTGATCTGACTCCCACAAGATAACTTTCTCTTTTGTGGCCACCACCTTTGAAAAACTTCTTACCTTAGCTGATAATCTCAGCTTGTCCAGATGTTGCACCTATCTTCCTTATCTAGTCTCCTGCCTTCAAACTTACATGTTAAACTGTTGCTAGATTATTTCTCTCAGAAATTTCCAATGGCTCCCCGTAACTCACAGTAGAAAGTTCTATTTCTTGCTTTGCCCTTCAGGAATCTCCATCTAAGTTCCTTCCCAGAATGATCTTCTAGTACTTCACTAAACAGATGCTGCAGCCCAAATGAAACACCGCCTAGACCCAACAGACTTGGGGAGAGGGAAATCAAACCACTAGAAATTATATGCAAAATTTCATGTTTATTTGAGTATCTGCATTTGGCTGGAGGAGTTCCCATCTTTTGAATCTCCAAACAGTCCAAGACACAAAAGGTGAAAAATTTAAAGCATCCAGGGGCTTTCCTGGTGGCTCAGAAGTAAAGAATCCACCTGTGAAAGCAGGAGACATGGGTTCGACCCCTGGTCCGGGAAGATCCCACATGCCTCAGAGCAACTAAGCCAATGCGCCACAATTCTTGAGCTTGTGCTCTAGAACTCGGGAGCTGCAACTACCAAGCCCACATATCAGAATTACTCAAGCCCACAAGCCCAGAGCCTGTGCTCTGAGACAAGAGAAGACACTGCAAAGAGAAGCCCGCACCCCTCAACTAGAGAAAAGCCTGCGCAGCAACTAAGACCCAGCACAGCCAAAGATAAATAAATAACTAAATAAATAAATAAAAAGTTTTTCGGGCCTGGTGGACTGGGAAGACCCAGAGGGATCAGGTGGAGAGGGAGGTGGGAGGGGGGACTGGGATGGGGAATACATGTAAATCCATGGCTAATTCATTTCAATGTATGACAAAAACTACTGTAATGATGTAAAGTAATTAGCTTCCAACTAATAAAAATAAATGGAAAAAAAAAAGTTTTTTTTAAACTAAAACATCCAGGTTGAGGTCTCTATGAGTTCAGCCAACTTAAATCATCTTCTGCCAAGGATTAAAGGGAGAGGGTATATACTGAAGCCGAAAAAAAAAAAACACCCCAGATACAAGTTATTCAGGATTGCCATGGAGTCCACTTTCATAGTTGGTGCTTCCTAATGGTCTGTTCGCTCAATAAATGAATGAGGGCATCTGGCCCCACTCATTCACACCATCTTGAAAGGTATGAAAATCATCATCCCTACTCAACCCAGAAAAATGCATCGCGAGGACCCAAAA